AGCACATTTGGTAAGGAAAAGGCAAAAAATATCCTGATATTATCTGTCAGAAACGTTATCAATGCTGTCAAAAACAGTAGCTTTTAACACTAGTACACAGATCTGTAGAACAAGTAGGTTACAGAATGAAATGAAATACGCAAACACTAGCCATGAAGAAGTCTATGCTATGTCATTCAGTATAGTAGTTAAATTTTCACAAATCATGCTATAAACATTTATAAGAGCACTAGACAAATTTATCAGCTATGGTTACTAATAAAAACTATAACAGTAATATGTATTGTTGCATGAATAATCAACAACTGATTAAATTATTCACCCCTAACTATAGTAAAGTATTAACAAATTTTGATGCAATAAATAGGGTATGATTTAAGAATGATCATCCCTCCAAAACAGAGAAAACATCTTTCACAAACATCTACATGTCTGTCTCTTTTAAAGTGTTTATAGTGTATATAATGAGTTGTGTTTGTAGGGGTTATTATAGCACAATTCTTGACCTCACTAAATTTCAAAGCCTGGCTATGGCCATGCATCATGCGAGAGTGGAATATAAACAGTTATGTTTAATATACTGCTGTTCTGTTACCCTTCAGACTATGAGAAGAGAGCAGCAGTGAGTGAGGAGCGTTTCTGACTTCAGAGGTCCTGGAGACGCACTGCAGTTCTTCTCATGCCTGACATACCAATGAGACTATGATTACAGGCAACATCTGTCACATTTATCACAAACATATAGTTATCTACCTGAAATTCAGCTGACCTGTCACAAATCTAGTTTTGTCAAAAATACACCGGGTATGACGTCAGATGGTTGCTGTCTTAGATTTGTCATGTGAAATGTTAAAATGTTACAATTTAACTTCATGCAGCTTCTTTGGACAGACTGAAAAATATAAAAAGGACTGTTCTTACACCATGCTGAACTAGGTTTAATGTTTTTTTTAATTGTCTAGGGTTATTATAGTCAACTATAACCAAAACTAAAACTAAAACCATAAATAATATATATAATAATATATAAATACAAGTTTAACCTGATGTACTAAAATAACTGAAACTGAAATAAAATGAATAAAACAACAACAACAGCAGCTACTACTACTATACTACTAATAAATATTAATAACTATAATAGTATCAGAATGATGCTTAAATATCACTGGTATCACCCTTCACAGGTTTACATTTATTTGTAGTATATTCATAATTCATAGATAATGTTATATAAATATAAAAGTGTAAAGTCCACTTTACAAGTGGACTTTAACTTTTCATTTACTCCTAAGACCACACTAATTTTTTCCCATTTAAATTTAGAGATAAAAAACATAATTCAGAGAACATCAAATATAAGAAATTTTGTGATAAACAAATTTGTGAAATTGTTCATGAACGTCAGATTTCCTTGTTTCAACTGAAGCACAAGATGCTCTTTGAAATGACTGTCATACTGTTACTATAATTTCCAATGAAATCATTTATATGAAATTAGAAAAGAATACAAAATATAAGCATTTTCTCTAAAAACATTGTGGTATATAATTTGCTTTTATCTAGAGAAAAAAACGAAATAAGAGCCATGCAATTGGACAATTTGGTTTGTGGCTCATTTTTATATTTATTATTTATTTGTGATCTCCCTGTCAATGAAAACTCTCTACATAGAAAATACTCAAAAAAGTAATCTGAATCAAAATAATAATAATAAAAGGTAAACAAGAAAAAATGTTTGTTGTCCAAACTGGAAATCTGCTGTGTTGAAGATCGACTCTGTATGAGAAAAAACGACATAACCAACAATGAAAAAGTTTCCCATGGCAACCAGAGGTAAAATCAGACAGAAGTGATTATGTTTTGGTCATACCTGAGCAATTCAAATATTACCTGTGTGAAAGCTGAGGCAAAAAGAGAAGAAATTCTATTTCATGGGACTATGATGCGTGCATGATCAAATTTTATATACTGTATATACCTTTACACCTTTACACAATCAAGAACTGGTAATGTGTTGCAATGTAGCACTACCCATAATCCCCCAGAAAATGGAGAAGATGGCTATAAAAAGAAATGCCAAAATAGTAACTTTTGTCATTTTAGCTAAAAGTCTTGAATTTCTGCAGCTTTCATTGAGAGCGTTCATGTGTACGTTTTTGTTTGCTGCTTGTGTGTGTGTGTGTGTGTGTGTGTGAATTAGATGGGTGTAAGAAGAAAGTGTGTATGTGTGTGTGATCAGCCACAGTGCACGGTTTCATTAGGGGGCAGATGGCAGCACTCAAGTCGGAAGTGACTGACATAATGGCTCAACCAGGCTGTGTGTGTGTGTGTGTGTGTGTGTGTGTGTGTGTGTTTGCATTTGTTCACGTCACAGATTGAAAATCTCCCATGCACTAGCTTGTGCACAGCAGCATCCTCTCACATTTTTCCTGTTTATTCATGTGTTTGAATAAAAAAAGGGTTATAGCTTTAGTCAACATGAAGAGGTGCCATGCAGTGTAATTTTGAATGTTCGTAGATGAGTAAAACATTATCAAACCCAGTCAAGGAGTTAGTTATTGTTATTATTTTGAGAATAGATATGACCAGGTTGTATACACGAGATGTTGAATTGAACACTAAAGACTCACTCATTAATATTTATTGAAAGAGGATGAGAAACCAGTTTGTGATTTATGTAAAAACATCTTGAGTTTGAAATGTATTCTAATAGATTGTCAATTTTTAAATGATGTTAGCAAGTTTTGTATTCAGATATTTATTTTAATATTTTTGATCTTTATTAAAAATGTTATTTTAATGTTTTTATTCAATGTTTTCATTATTAATGGACATTAAAAAAAAGATTCTATATAATTGGTGTTATGTATTACTCTTATTAGCAGTATATGTAGATTTTTGTATTTTGATAGTTTTTTAAGACACAATTGTTAAATTATTACATTATAAAAAATGCATTGAAATGATATTGTAATTATAATTGTTTTGTAAAATTTAAATGTTGTTGATTTTGCCATGAATATAGACATTCTGATACGGTGTCAATGAATGAATTTATACATTAATAAATAAATATATAAATAAATCAATCAATGGTCTCACAAGTCTACTTTCATTTGTAATATCTGATTTTAAAAATTATTTTATAATTTACTGTTTTTTCCTCTGTATCACTCTTTCTCATTTCATGCATTAATAATGCACATTAATTATTTATTCTTCTAAATTTAGTTTATAATATGGTCTTGTTTAATATAAAGCAATTATAGATTCTGTCTGATGTGAGTCTGTGGTCAGTCTGGTCTGGAGCTTGTTAAACGTGTCTCTCCTCCTGCGGCACAAATTCATATTTGTCTGTTTATGCTGCCTGTTTAAATGAAAAGTCCATCTGAATGACACATTGTAAAATAACATTAGGGCTTCTGAAAAACATCTAGATTGCAATGTATGCATGGCTGACGACGTTGACACCAAAAACCTTCGTTCAGATTCATTATGACTGGTTTCGACGACTAGATTCCGTTTGTCATGATGCATCCAAGAGGTTATTTAGTGGACCACACAGAGAGAGGAAAAAAAAAAAAACAACTTTAGAAACTATGACCTAGTGGTTCAACCTCTTATTGAATGAAAACATGCCGTTGTGCATTGTGTGGGTGTTTCAAAAATAAAGTTGTATACTCAAGCTAATAGTTTGGTAGACTTCATAATGCAATGTGTATAATTATTATTCATTATGCTGGAAACCTTTGACACCAAACTTTGAAGGTCCACAAAGATAAAGACATTCTTTCCGGCAGATAGCTGTTGTTTACTGCGTAATACAGGATTGTGTGGTTTATAATGACCATGGAGCATTTTTTGTTGTTGATAAATTTAACAGTTCATCTGCTGAATAAATATCTATTTTTTTTAATGAAAGCCAAATGAAAAATAAAACACATTTTGATCAACATGATACTCATGTTGCATGTTGATTCAGCATTGATCTCTGACACCGAAACATTGATTTTACTTATTAATTTAATTTAACATTTGAAAAGGCTGTGACATGCATGAATTGTTCTCTTTTTCAGGTACAGGGTAAATCATGGAGTTATGTAACATTTTGTTGCAATATCAGGTGATTTGTTGGGATATATGTTTTTGATGCAATATTACTGTATTTAATAATTTCACAAATAAATAAATAATACAATAATACCATAAAATAATACATGCACGCTGCAGGGTTGAAGCCATAAAAAACACCAAAGCATTCGAACTTTGAAAAATGCAAGCAATCAACCAATCCAAAAACAAACAAACAAATAAATAAATAAAAACTGCAAAGTGCATAGGCTAAAAAAAAAAAAAAGCAGAAACTGATATAGTACTCCAAATGCTATATTTTTGTACTCCTCTTTATCTGATTACTTACAGCTGGTCATATATATAATAGTGGGTTTTAGGTGAAACTGAAAACTCCCCGGTTCCCCTCGTTTCAAATATAGAAATGTTCATTTCTACTTTAATTTGAGATATTTCTACGCATAATCTTGTTTAATATAAAGATGTGCAAATATCACCCATAGATGCCAGAGCTCTGGGGTTGTAAAACCCTCCCATTGAGGGAGGCAGAGTTTAGGGAGGGATGGACGACAGAATGACAGCAGTGCGCTCGGAATAAATGCTCTCGTACCGGAGCCGAGCAGCAGGAGAGCACAGCTTCTCACGCGCTGCGTGTTTATACAGCGGCTCGCTCAGACATGCCACGCGTCTTCTGAGTGGGACACCAGGAGAAAAGTCTCAACCTTCCATCGGAATATTGGCAAGGGGATAACCACACTGTTTGAGGCGATATTTACAGCCTTTCAAAGTGGAGAGGTAAGTCGCGTTGCTTTTTTTTACTGCCAAAAGTATATTTTAGCATTAATTTCACATGCTTTGGGAAATGCATGCTGTATATAACGACGAGGATTTGTGAAATGGGCATGTAGAGTTGCATAGCAGTCTCATGCTCAGGAGCAACTGGTGTGTCCTGTTGAACATGCATGCATGCTGCAGGTCAGTGCGTCTGATAACTCCTGGATACAGACAGTAGTAGGTGCACATGTGTTTTTGTTTGTTTTGAAATAGGAATTTGTGTATGTGAAGTTTTTGAGAATTTTGAGAATTGTCAACGTGTTTTAATCGTTCTACATTAAGAAAAGGCAACTTACACTGGTTTGAAGCATGCACTCTGTGTAATATTTATTCACCCTTTTTATTTTAATATCTGTAGCCTTTATCTAATCATTTTATTCTAATGTGTAACTGATTTCATACTAAATTAATTTAGCATTATTAAATATAAAATGACCACACAATGTGTGTGCAAAGCATCTGTTTCTGATAATAAAAAAAAGCTTGCTTAAAATTTGGGAAATATTACTTCATATGTCTTTGTAAAGCATTCTGTTGTTAGAACAATATCAAAAGATCCACCAATACATGACTGTTTGGAAAAGCAGGAGCTGTTTCTGCCTGATCTGACAGATACATTGCTTTTATCGATGAGGTCATGTTGATTTAGTCATGTGAAATAATATTTTAAATAAATGACACCACTGAAGCACATTTTCACTGCCACCAAAATGTCAATACTGAATGAGGAATGTAATGTGCCTCTTTAAGAGCTTCGACATGCATAGTCCATAATTTTCTCAACGTGATTTCAGTGCAGTTTATAACAAATGCATTTTTATTTTATCATTCACAAATAGTTACTCAGTTATTGAATGCAAGTGTATTGTAAACAAGACACTAATAGATCATGCTGTGAATATCATGCAGTGCAATTGAAAGTTATTAGCTGTGCCTTTGCTTATTCTTTATTACAAAACAGTCCCTGCAGTTGTAATGATATTCTCCATGACACTAAATCTGAATTAGTAATGTCGCATTTTGACAGAATTGGACAATAGTTGTTCACACGAGGGCATATGCGTTTCATGCTGCCAAGAAAGGCGAGATGCAGGAGGCCTGTAGATTATAAGCGTTTCTTACATGAATGTTCAGTTGAGACTGAGCGTGATGCACATGGAGGAAATGCTACTGGCTTGTCAACTGAAAGGAAAGAGTGAATTGAAGTCTACATTCACAGCTTGTACACTGTGATACGAGTCACCACTCAATCATTGAAATTATTAACAAAAAATATTGTGAAGGTTTCAACTGAATGATTCTTTCTTACCAATAATGTCTTGCATTCAAAGCCAAGCAATAATTCATACAAAAAAGAAAATTCTGTCATTATTTACTCACACTCGTGTAGTTTCAAACCCGTATGCTGTTGTTATATTTCACAACAACAACAACAACAGAATTTGGAAGTATCTCACAGTATGCTCTGTATGAAGCTGTATGATAGTTTTGTATAAACTGAAAAATAATAGTGACTAATGAACTTTATTCAGATAATCATCCCCTCCAGTTAGTTTATAATTCAAGAACCTGATCACTGAGTCAGTGATTTAAACCAGATCAGTTTGATTTGTGAACAAATCATTCTGTCTGATTTGTGATTCAGATCAACGGTTCATTGAAAAATAACTGTTCATTCACAAATCAGACTTTGAAGTATATATAGCATGAGACATATGGACTACTTTTATGCTGTTTTTTTGTTTTTGTTCCATGGAAAAATGACAGCATACACATTTAGAATCAATAATTTTTGGTCAAGCTATTCCTTTAAACCAATTTTAATTGGAGTTAGACTTAATTAATGGTCTGAATATTTCCTTAAATGTCACAGGATGCAATTAGTAGGATGCAAAGTGAATGTTGCTAGCCTGTATTGTCTTGCATATCTTCATGTCTTCGCCTGCCGTGGTTGACACATCTGACATGTTGCTCTCCTTTGTCACATTTAACTCAATCGCAGATCTGACGCACAGCAAGACACAATGCAGGAATCTGAGCCCAGCGTGTGTCAGCTGCAGCCCAACATCATCTCAGTGCGCCTCTTCAAAAGAAAGATCGGTGGGCTGGGCTTTCTGGTCAAACAACGTGTGTGCAAGCCACCCGTCATCATCTCTGACCTCATCCGGGGTGGGGAGGCGGAGGAATGTGGGCTGGTCCAAGTCGGCGACATCGTCCTGGCCGTGAACAACAAGCCTTTGGTGGACCTGAGCTACGAACGTGCGCTCGAGACCCTGAAGAACGTGTCGCCCGAGAGCCACGCCGTCCTCATCCTCCGCGGACCCGAGGGCTTCACCACTCACCTGGAGACCACGCTGAGCAGTGACGGGAAACCCAAAACGGTTCGGGTCACCAGGCCCGTTATCCCCGCTCAGAGCAGGCCGTGTGAACGATGTTCGCCTCTCAGCCCCAACATGACCAAAGAGCTCAGGGCCATAGAGAACCTGTCCTCTTCCTCCACTCCCAGGAAAGACCCACGGGAGAGCAAACCCCTGATTCCCCTGCTGGCCCAGGACTCTCTGCTCAGAGAAGGAGACCATTCAGCCCTTCTCCTCAATGGGGTGGAGGAGAACAACGACCTGATGAAGGAGATCGAGCCAGTGCTGAAGCTCATCAAGAACAGCAAAAAAGAGATCAACGGAGAAGGTCAGAGAGACGTAGAGAGGAAGGATGTCGAAGTGCAGGTGGAGAGGTGAGTGATGTCTTAGTACAAAACTCCAAAATTTTTCCAATACACCTCTCTGCAGTTTCCAACTGAAATAAACACTAATGGCAATAAACCACCTACAGAGATAATTCATTTCACACAAATTATGATTGCAAGGACAAATTATCAAGTAATAAAGAGTTATTTTTGTGCAGTTCTTCCCACAATACTGTGTTATGAACACAAAAGGCTTTTACCATATAGTGCATTATAAATTAATACATTTTGACATCTACATCACATAACCAGCTCCATTTATATTACTTTTCTTTCATGGTAAACTTGCTCAGTAGCTCACCTGGTACAGCCTAGCACTTGCAATGTGGAGTGTTTAGGTATGAGTCCCGTGAAAAACAAGTCATGATAAATAGCTAAAATGGAATGGTTACTTCAACAAATGCATTTTATCCCACATTTATCTAGCTTTTAGGCTAGGGTTTCGGTTTTGGTGGTATGCTACGTTCAAATGCGATAGACCTGTTACGTCCATTTACCGGACTTTAATTTCCAAACTCAACTTAATTTCAAAATTTTTCAATCTCCAATATTAATTTTTTTTTAAATAATTAAATTTAAAATATTAAATTATCTACAAAAGATAAGTTTAAATGCACACTAAGTGAATACATTTTCAGCACATATCTCATCCTGACAAACGGCGTCTCAATTTTAACCATTCAAGTTTATGATTTTTCCTGGGCAGATGATAAAATGTATTTAAAAAACAGTAGATTAACATTGAAGTGTTACCTAGCTTAAAAGGATAGTTCACCCAAAAATGAAAATTCTGTCATTAATTACTCACCCTCATGTCGTTCCAAACCTGTAAGACCTTCACTGATCTTCAGAACACAAATTAAGATATGTTTAATGAAATCTGAGAGCTTTCTGACCCTGCATAGACACCAACGCAACTACCACGTTCAAGGCCCAGAAAGGTCGCAAGGACATCGTTAAAATAGTCCATGTGACATCAGTGGTTCAACCGTAATGTTATGAAACTACGAGAATACTTTTTGTGTGCAAAGAAAACTAAAATAATGACTTTATTCAACAATTTCTTCTCTTCTGTGTCAGCCTTCGACACGTGTTCATGACATTAGCACGATGCATGAGCGTTAATTAGCATTGTATCTGTTTTCTTTGCATTCAAAGAAAGCCCTTATATGCATGAAGTGGAAGAAACTTTTCTAAAATCCATTAATTTGGTGCACAAATTTAAAGTGCTGACTTTAAATTTCTGTTGACGAAATGCAACTGGTTGTCTATTTACAAACTGCATTCAAAGTGTACAAATATTTTGTCACAAAATACTTGCCTTTGCATTTTGTGTCACATAATAAATTACCCCACAAAATTGTGAATGCGGTATTTACAAAAACATATTACACTGTACATCTAAGGCTTAGTTCTGTCATTTTTTTTTTTATGTATAGTTTATAAATCAAGTTAACATTCGAGAAATAAGACCACAAGTTAGTCATTTCCCCATTTATGATTTCATTATCTGGTGCCTGTTGTGGCTTCAATTAGTCTGATCATATGGTCTGCACATTGGAATCTGATTTAGGTATTTAGCTATATGTAATCGCCTTACTAAAAACATTAAATTTAACATCCCACTCATCATTTCTCTAGGGTGCAATATATATGGCATTCCAGTAAACCACTAAACTCCGAATGACATTGTTTGGCGTTAAACAATCTTTTTAATATATGTCCAAATATAGGTTATGAATGCATTCTCCATTTTGGATTGAAATTCACCACTGGCATTTAAAAAGCAAAGAGGAATCCACTAACATGACTTAACATTACTTGTTCCCAGAAAGATCATGTTCTAAAAGCTTCAAGTGGTAGCGCATGAGTAATGACAACAGTACAGCAAATTACATGAGCACTATTGACCTAAGGGAAGAGTTCTCTCAAAAACATTATTGGTTTAATGTTGTAAACAACAGGCAAATCAAGAAGACATCCAGTTCTTAGAATCAGTTTTACCTTTTAATATTAAAAAGAAAACTCTGTATGTACTCCCAGTGCAAATGTGATGTTAGGCATGATCAAAATAGTACAGTAGAGTCTAGTTTTCTTGTGGTGGAGTATGGGTTTAGTTGCCACACTATTTATTCCAATGAGTATTTCTCAATGTAGATTAATGTATAGTCTTATGCCGAAAAAATCTTTACTACAAACAAATCTGTTAAACATTGCCACTATTAGTGTGGATTAATTATCTAAAGTCTGTGTGACAACTAGCCCCAGTCTGTATCCACTTTTCATTTATTTGGGAATATGATTTACAAATCACTCAACAAAGAATATAGACATATTTGCACAATATTCATGCTTTCTGAGAAAGGTCAGTTTTCTAAATGCATATTATTTCTGATAAGTGAATCTTGTGTTTATTTGGTGAGCTGTCAGTGAGTGAATCTGTTCAGAATGTATTTATTCCATTCAGTCTTTGAGATTACTCTTGTGTTGAATGTTCATATTACGCTTTAGTGAACAGGAAATACTAACAGGAAGTGCAAGAAGCTTCTAGCAACATTAATAATAGAATGGATAAATATAGACATAATTTTGTGATTACACACCAGTTTTCACAGTATACCAATTGGTGTAATTCTACCTAAATTATTTGTTACAGCCTAACCACTGTAGTTTTGTCATAATAAATATAAATATAAATATTGTCATATTTTTCAACTTTCATACTGTGAAGATCAAATAAATGTCCATTCTGTAAAAGCCTCATTGCAGAAACTGATTCGTTTTATCCTTGTAGTTTATGAACAGCAGCTGTCCGCATTTTAGTGTGCTTAAAGGGATAGTTCACCCAAAAATGAAAATTCTGTCATTAATTACTCACCCTCGTCTTGTTCCAAACTTTTGGAACACAATTTGAGATATTTTTGATGAAATCTGAGGGCTCTCTGACCCTCCCATAGACAGCAAGGGAACTACCACGGTCATGGCACAGAAAAGCGTGTGGCGGCGCCAGCGCTGACCCAGATCCGGCACGATGACGTTGAACACATGCACCGTGCCTTGTACCTTGTGTTCAACGTCATCACACCGGATCTGGGTCAGCGCCGTGGACGGCGCCGCCACACGCTTGCGTCATGGTACCGTCGTGAACGCGTGTCCACAAGTGACGCAGTAGAGACGAAAATGTGGAATAAAGTCGTTATTTTTGTTTTCTTTGCACAGATTTCATCAAAAATAACTTAATTTGTGTTCCGAAGATGAACGAAGGTCTTACGGGTTTGGAACGACATGAGGGTAATTAATGATAGAATTTTCATTTTTGGGTGAACTGTCCCTTTAAACATGAAGTGTGTAAAAATATTTACTGATTTCAAACAGGTTTCCTAAACACTCCCCTCCTTTTTGCCATTGGTCAGTTAAACAGATAGTCCCGCCCCAAACTATTGGTTGACTATGTGTTGCTGTTGTCGGACAAGTCTGGATGTTCAAACAAACAGAGCAATGATTAGCAATTGCCTCCGAGTGTTTTATTATTTGAAAAAGTACACACCAGATTTCTTTTCTGTATTAGAAGAACTAAACAAATTATAATTAGGCTTGGAATATTAATCCGACTGGTGAACAGAGATGGCAGCGTTTCATCCAAAACAAATCAAGCTTCTCACTCTTCTCACATTTGTGATGAATGTGTTACTATGAGTCCCATCAACGTCAGCTAGGGAAAAAAAAGTTCTGTAAGTGATTTTTTTTTACACTTTTTAATTATACATTATACTTCGGATAGCATGGTTTATTGTTTGAGTATCTGGGCACTAGCTAAATCTGATTATGGAATAACTTGAGAATTAATATAACTGAAGCAGTTTACTGTTTCATTTAAAAGACAAATTGCACATTGGTAGCCTTGAGACATTAATGTTTTAGAGAAATTGAAGTTAAGCTCTACGGACCGCATCTGAGGCATGTTGTTATTTATGACAGATGTTGTTGTTTTTTTTGACTAATTCCTTCAGTTTATAACATAAATGTAAAAGTGTGCAAAGTAATATACAGTAGACAAAAAATAATATAATTGAATGTTTTTGAGTCACTGTACATACATCTAGACCAGTTTTCTTCTGGCTGATGTTTAAACTGTTTGTGACTTTCAGAGACCTTGGTGTGGGAAATGGACAGAACGCCCAGCTGGCGTCGGATAACGACAGAGTGTTTGATGACCTCTGGAGAAAGGACAACATGCCTACGGTGCTTAACAACCCTTACTCAGAGACTGACAAGGTAAAATACAGTCTAAATGGCTTTACATGTGGCTTGGAAGGACTGTGAGTGAGTCAGTAATCTAGCATTATTTCTTTTTTTAAAGGTGCAAGTACAGAAATATTGAAGCTGTTCTTTACTGTTAATATGGCCTGATCTGCTTGACAGCTGGCAGATATTCAATGACCTACTCTTAAAAAGAATTACAGGACATAGTTCCACAAACTTTTTATTCTCTATTTATTTAGAAGAACTGTACTGAAGTGTAAATTGTACTCGGGTTTTAAAGCAGTGGTTCTCATGGATCATGAAAAGCAGGGTAAAACTATGCTAACTACTACTAATAAAATACAACTAAATGTATTGGTGTTTATATACGAAAATCGAAATGAAAAACCGAAAACTCGAACTGTTTTCAACGTTAATAATAATTAAAAAAAAATGTTGCTTGAGCACCAGATCAGCATGTTAGAAAGATTTCTGAAGGATCTTGTGACACTGAAGACTGGAGTAATGATGCTGAAAATTAAGCTTTGCAATTATTTTAATATATTAAATTAGATTTTTTTTAATGTTAAATTATAATACTATTTCACAATATCATTTTACAGCATTTTAATTGAACAAAATGCAGCACTGACTTTTTTCAAAAACATCTTACCAACCTCAAACTTTTGAATACAAGTCAACTTATCACAGAAATTCAAAGTAAATTAGATTTCTGCTGTTGATTAATTACAAAACAAGCATTTTCTGTACAGCCTCGTATGATTTTACATATATTTTGCATATTGCTTGTGCAATTCATGGTAATACAATAGTCTGCATGTAAAATATGGGTCCTGAAGCAAAACCAGTTAAGAACACATGATTCTAACAACCTAGAAACAAAACAAAATGACAACAAAAAGAACGCTGACTGATCTGAAGACACTATAATGTAACTTAAAGCACGCTTTCCAAAGAACCATATATAAAACATGAGAAAAGGACCACATAATTCAACAAAGAAACTTTAGTTGAGTGGTTTTCAAACTCTAACCTTATATTAAAAATAACAATAATAAAATACAAAGCACACCTATGAATGAAATGATCTACAAAATAAGATTTAAGTGGAGTCTGCATGTCAGGTAGTTCAGAATTAATTGCAAGTCTAATATTTCAAGTAGGGCTTACTTGCAAGTAACCATATGAAAGCCTCTCTCTAATGCCCGTCACATGGCTTTCACTGTACCTGCCAGCTCAGTGCTGGTGTAGCATGTGTTTCTACAGTCCTGGTTGTGGGGGTAGCAGTGCTTACATTTCACATCAGCACATGACTCTCTCATCTGGCCTCTTGTGACGCATTATCCTTCTGAAAGAAACCGGATGGATGGAGGCGATCCAAGAAATTAGAGGAATGAATGGATGCAGCTGTGTGGTCCAAGACGGAGTTTTTCACTTTTTCTCTCTCTATGCTTAGTGTAATACAGTGTCTGGTGGATGATTAATCATCAGTGAGTAAGACGAGGAGGGGGAGAGTGAGAGAGTACAAGAGAAATACAAAGACAAGAACATTAGACCAAGGCAGCATGTGATTGTTGTGCACAATGTCTGACATTATTTGTGTGACAGAAAGATGCAATGTCTGTTGAGATGATATATGAACACTTATAGCATGTCCTAACCAGGCAACAACTAATTTGTCTATCCGCAATAACTGCAAAGCTGCTGCACAATCACAGCCAATCAGATGACATCTAATGTATAATATAGTTGTGGGCGGGGTTACCTAGTATAGTATAACATTTGTGATTGACGAAATGTCAAAATTTGCATCAAAATTTTCATAAATTGTGCATTACAAACTACATCTTTTAGAGTGGAGCCGAGTCCTTAGATGTGCACCAGCGAACTACATCCAAGTCTGCTTGAAAAGGTGGTTTGGGGTATTGTTCGCAGTTAGTATGATTTATACTGAAGTCCGTTTCCACCACAAAATATAAATGTTAATTGTGACATTTTAACCTCACCATTTTTAATTTTTTCTTAAAAATGATATAAACTCACAATTCTGAGAAGAAAAGTCAGAATGGGGAGATACAAACTTATAATTGCGAGAATTGCAAGATTTAAGAGAAAAGGCAGAACTGTGAGATGTAAACTTGGAACTGCAAGAAAAAGTCAGAATTCTGAATTTATATCTGACAGTTCTGTGTTTATATGACGCAATTCTGAGAAAAAAATCAGGACTGTGAGATAAAACATCACAATTACCTTTTTATATGTTTTATTCTGTGGTGGAAATGTGCTCAGCAGGTCTCAATTGGTCAAAATACTTTTCAGTCAAGTGTGAAAACAATAGGAGAATAAAGCCAAACCCAATCATATTAGGCAATTTAGAAATCCTGGCCAGGACATCTCTGGGAACAACAAGATATGTGGTCAGCCTAGATTTAACCTCTATAGTCAGTTGTCTTGGTTCATGGCTTTTAACGCTTTAAATTAAGACTTTTTTAAAAATCCCTATACGAAGAATTAATGGAAAAATAATTGGTTGCTGAAAAGTGGGTGGGCAGTAATGCGCTACAGCTAAAAAAAAAAAAAAAAACATGCACGGATACACGTTACCAAAAATCTTACTGTTTAGGCACTTTCAGCATACTTTTTAAAAACATACTATGACGCACTAAATCTAATCTTGCATATCATTTAGGACAGATGAATTTCGACACTGTATACATTTAAATGTGTAAGTGTTATTTCAATCACATTGACCTTAAATGGCCAGCCAGATATGACATTATCTGCAAAGGCTAAGGGGAAATAACACATTCTCTTGCACCTTCAAATCTTCACTTCAGTCTGACAGTGTGAGACCTTGGCTACTCTATAATAACCTGTTATAACAGAAGTGTATGTTGACATTTTGCACTTTTAGCATATTCTCACTGACACACATTGGTGGTTAATTAATTTGCTGGAGCATGCCTAGAGAACATTCTCAACATGCTGTAAGATACACCAGAATATTCCTGCTGCTGAGATGATGACAAGTGAGTGTTCTTATAAGCTTGCTTTAGACCATTTTAAACTTGTTTTACATTTCTATGTCGAGCTGCAAATGGAACAGCTTGTTTTTTTAAGAAGTGTCTGTACTTTGGAACGCTAACCTTGCTGACACGAGACTGAATGCATGTTTCATTGCTTTAGCGATTGCAAACCTGCTAAAGCAACGCAGGTGCGATGATTTGAAATGTTTGAGATGATAATAAGCTTTCAGTCTGCCTGATGGGGTTGAGGTTTTTTAGAAATGTGCTGAGTTTTCCAAGGCTAACAGCAGCGCCCTGCATAATTTAAGCTCTAATAAGGCACACTCAGCCAGTGGAAGTGGTGCGAAGCAGTCGGACAGATGAGCTGCTAACATCATTAAACAATGATGTTGCTATCTTTGAAGCTCTGCATGAAAAACAAGCAATACTATTTAACCATCTATATTTTTATTAATCTCATGCCCTCATAAGTTCAATTATAAAACGGATAGTTCCTCTCCTGGATGCTAATGTCAAAACTTCCACAATTTCAAAAATATATTATTTAATAATTGTTATGATGTGCATATTCATCATTAGCTATTGTGTATATCACTGCACAGCACCCATAAAATGTTATTATTTACCATGTCAGAGGCTGTATTTTCTAGCAGATGCATGACACTTGATCATCTAAAAATTAATTTACTTGCTGAAGTTAAGTTTTACATTTATGCATTTGACAGATGCTTCCATCCAAAGTGACTAAAATTACATTTCAAAATATACATTTGTCTCATTATTCTTATTGTTGTTGTTATTATACTTTTTAAAAATAGCCAATATGTAGTATAAATGATTTAGAAATGCTATATTGTGATCACAACTCATGCTCACATTGTAAATATTGATAAATATATTTAGATATTCATATATTCATGATTGGTGATGCAAACACTTTGAATGTATTTTAGTAGGAAATGTATTCTAGTAGTAAATGTAATTTAGTAGGAGAAAAAGTAACAAAGCACAAAGTGTGATTTTTTTGGACGGGGGGTGAGCTACAAATAATGTTTGGTAAATTTTCGTTCAAACATCAACTGAAAATAGCATAGACTAGCCCAAAAGATTGATTATTTGGATTGTAGAATCGATTGGTTTATCAAAATGAGCATAGATTCAAACCAAGAAATTGATATTGTCAAACCATTAGACCAGGGTAGCGCCATATTTAATTTTTTGACCGGATTGAAAATGAGACAGTTTCGTGGTAGTTCAGCTGTTGAAACGTCTTTTTGTTTAAAAAATCTTTCAGACAAAATTTCCATAAAACAGTTTTGGGTTGTCAAGTTGTGGGTTGTCAAAATGACATGATCTTTGATCTTTAAACAGTGCGTTGTAGTGTAAAGACTACGTTTATCCAGTCTTTGGTTTATCCCTCACAGCCTCGTTTTCATCTGTGTTAAATGCAATATGGCATCTAATCTGATTAAGATCTATAGATTTAGCAACCATAGTAATTACACTTCAACACCATAGGAACTCCCTGATGAATGTAAAAAAAAAAAAAAAAAACCTAAGCAAAGTTGTAGCAACTGTCTAGCCATATTAAGTAAATATAGCCAGTATTAGGTATTATACAGACAATTTCCATGACATCCATAGAAACACAATCTTTTCAGCTTATTAGTCATTCCGGAATGTTTTATTTATTAGCAGCTTGTGAAAATGAGTTTGTCAAATCAGCTCGTGTTACTCTTTTACATAATAAAGCTTGTGTTAATACAGCTGTGGTGAGAAGGATGAGACAAAGCTATGTGCGCTGTGTGCGCTGTGCCCGTTGTCGAGCTCTAAGTTGAATAAAGAGGTGCAGCAGCGAAGGTGAATTCTGGTGGGCTGTGAATGTTGCGTGAGTGTATCGAGTGTTTGTTTCTGAAGAGCTTCGGTGTGGGTAAGTGGTCTCGAAGTGTCGATGATGTTGCCGATTATCCCACCCCGTTCGCACATGTGGTTGTGTGTGTGTCAGTTTTTGCCCGGGGCGACGCTGTCATGTAAACAGAATCCTTACAAAACCCTTTCAGTTGAAGTTTGCTTTTTCAATTTTACACCTTTTCTTTCGCACTGCCTTCCTGTCACAGTGTACACTCGTATATGTAAGGGTGTATCATATCCGCCTTTTGTCCTCACATTTCACTTCTGACAAGACGGTTCTTCTCATCCATTCTGCCTCAGATGTCTCACGTGTGTAAACATGAGTGCGGCGCATTCCTTGCCAGCCGAGTGCAGCGTGGCGGCTTTGAGATAATAATCGTGTACGTTGCGTGTGTTGTGTAGCCAGAGAGAGAGAAGGACTGATCTGTCTTCTGAGGAGAATCAATTGAGGAGAAGGACGCCCACTATTCTTCCTGGGGACAGCGAACATAATGGGCCAAGGATGATATTGAAGTTTGCATTCATACCAACAGAAACCACCACAATTATACGAGTGATGTGGTGCCGAAATCATCGGTCTGTGAACTGGGTCTTCATAAGGAATATAATGGCTGCTAGATTGATTTCCATTGGATTAACAATGTCAACTTCTGATACATTTGTGCATGTGGAAAATTACAGTCATCTTTTGAATGGCAAGTCATTGAGAGTATTCTGTTTTCTCTGAAAATCAAAGCTCAATTAGAACTTTGCTTAATAGTGCTGATTATCCCATTGACGCCTTTGAGTAAGTCATGTCATTCCTTTACCTGCTGGTTGTTAAAATAGCTACATAAGAATAAAGAACTTTGCAAAGGAAGTTCATTGCTGTCAATTGACCATTCACAAAGACCTGCCCTCCTTAGTTACTGTTGCCATCTCCGACAAACATTGCCACTCTCACACCACACACCGTGTTCTCATGCAGTGAAAAATACATTGCAGAGCAAAGAGGAAACTGACAACGTCCAGCAGGTCACTTCTGGAATGAAACAAGGTCTCAGGACTCTCAGCATTCAAATTTGGTCATTTTTTATCAAGAAATTCTAACAATAAATACCGTTTTGTGGCTCTTTAATGTGTCGTGACAGATCAGTATTGCCTCAGTTCAAACACGTGAACCGATCGTCTTTTCATATTTACGTAAAGCATGAAATGAACATGAATAAACATCAGAAAATGTTTTATTTCTGCATTGAAAACAGATGAGCGCACATATGCATATACAGCTCCCGATCGGGGCAAAGTTCACGGGATTTTGTCCACAGAATGATAAGAGCACACGTTTTAACATTTTATTATTTAACACTCAGTATTTTAACTTAAGCGCTGCAAGCCATGCATACATTGCCGGACATGACCGATTTTCTGGTGCGCAAAACAAGTACTTTAAAGGGGTCATCGGATGCCCATTTTCCACAGTTTGACCCATTTGGTATGATTGGTATGACAAGTTGGACAAGTTGGTATGATTCTTTAGGGTCTTAATGAATAGTCTATAACATACTTTGGTTAAAATTTCTCAGTGGTAGTGTAAAACAACACCCTTTTTACCTGGTCAAAAACAGCTCTGTTTACAGCAAGCTGTTTTGTTGCATGTTCCTTTAAATGCAAATGAGCTCTGCTGTCCCCGCCCCTCTCTTCCGAGCCACTCTCTGAGAGACTGTAAATTTTAGCCGCATTCATCGTGAAACTTGCTAACTAGCACATTATTAGGAAAGGCGATTTGCAAATATAAAAAAACCTTATACTCACTTCTTCTGCAGGTGAATCACAAATGATTCGAGTGAACCATAGACACATTTAGGTAGATCGGGGGGCGCATTCCCTTCAGAAACAAATGTAATCCACTGCGTCTTCAGCAGCTCAGATGTCGGGAGTAAATAACGACTGCTATGTTCATTAATACATCCAACAACAAAACACGTCAATCGCTTAGGAGACATTCTTGTCTAAAACCGCTCTGGCGTCGAAACAATGGAGGACTGATGACGGCTCACTCAGGGCGGAGCTGTGATCAAACCAAAGACTGACGCCACTGTCAATCAACAATTGTGGTAGGGGCCTGTGCAGAACTATTCTGACAAGAATCTGAGAACGGCTTGATAAGAGAAAGGGGTTTGGATTTATTGAGATTTAAACAAAAGCACTGGGTGGATTTTTATCATTATAGGGTGGTTGTGAACACACACTGCCAACACACATTTCAGTTCAAACAACATATAAAAGTTAATTTTGCATCCGATGACCCCTTTAAAGGAATTACTTAGCTTATTGCTGTTACTGTGGCAGCCAACAACAGCACAGATCAACTCTCCACACATTTTTATATTTAGTTATATTGAAAAAGTTTCAATTCAGTCAATCTTTTTTACCCCGTTTTAACATGGATTTCTATGGAGACCGACTGTAGCTGTCGGGCAAGATGGCAGATAGCAGCGGCGGCACATAACATCCACGTTCTGATTGGTCAGGACAGGCGATCTGCCTGTCAATCAAGCTCCCTGCGAACAGTCAATTATAATTTATCTTTACGCAGATGTTGGGGATTCTTAGAAACTATCAAACATAAAAACATGACAAACTATTGTTTTGAGAACTAAATGGCTGGTTTTGCTTAGTGGCCTATACACTTTTAAAAGCAAATGTTTAACCTCCCTGGAAACTTTCCATCGCACAGTAGGTTCTTCATAGTGGAAAACTGTTCTTTAGATAATTAAAATGTTCTAGAAAAATATTTATTTTAAGAACCATTTACTGAAAGGTTCTTTGGGAAACCAAAAATGGTTCTTCTGTGTCATTACTGTGAAAAACCCCTTTTGGAACCATTAAGAGTGTAATAATGAAGGCTAAATGTCTGTGTTGATAACCAAACTGTTCTTTTTAATTGTTCTTGGAAACTGTTGTGAGAATTGTTCCTGTAATTAGTGTACAGGGAGTCATTTTGGATAAAAGTGTTTGCCGATGGACAAATTTGAGGCGAGTTGCTAATAATGAGGTGTAATGTTTGTTCCTCCACAGCCACAGTCCCATGGGAGAGTTTCCCCCACTAAGACTGTGCAGAATGGGAGTCCCACCAAGTGTCCCAGATTCATGAAAGTGAAGAACTGGGAAACTGGAGCTTTATACAATGATACTTTACATCTCAGCTCCAGCGAGGTATGTTTGATGCTGATTCTAGGTAGGCTTATATGTATGAACTACATTTAGTTGAACGTATAAAGAAATAGCATCTTTGCCATTACTAACACAGCAGAGCCCTTACAAAAAATTTGGTTTGTGCGCCATTCAGAACTGAATTAAAATGACTTGACACAATACTTGACATTAAGTTTTAATTTCTTCATATTATGCTCTAAAATGATTTTATTTTAAGTTTTAAATAAAGATTATAAGAGTGTTTCGCAAGAAAACACTATTTCATTCTTCATTCAGTGTTACTTGCCATTTCTTTGCAATTATTTAGAAATATTTACTAGCAATTTAAGTGCATATCTTTTCAATCCTACACCATTTTTTAGTGTAATGTTAGTAAACTTGAACTAACAGTAACTAATACTACAACAGAATTTATTAATTTTAGATATTGTTCATTTTAACAATACTTTTCAAAGTAATGTTTTATCTGTTTACATTTGCCGATGCACCATTACCATGAACTGACAATGAGCAATTGTATTTTTATTGACCAAGATTAACAGAGATTAGTAAATGCTTGAAATTATATATTGCTGTTTGCTAGTTCATGTTAGCTAATGACTTTATTAATGTTAACAAATTATTGTAAAGTGCTGCTACATTTTTTCCTGAATTTGAATAGTATTGAGGTATCAGTTTGTTTTGAATGCAATTTAGGTGTAAGAAAGTAGAAATCAATTTAGATTCAAAGATATGTCAATCCAAACTTTGAACGATTGCATGATGAATAGGAACTTCCTCTTCCTGTCATTTCATGCTATGTATTTGCATGGTTGAAAGTCATTAGAAATACCATATTTCCATGTACAATTCCAAAAAAAAAAACACACCATGGTTCTAGCTACCATTGTTGTTTTTCAGTTATTTTTTTCAGTACATTTTTTAGTCTCTAAAGCAACTTAATACATTTTTTGTCATCAAAATCATTATTTCATTGCTTATTCAGATGTTTCAAAAGTAATATGATAACAACAAGAAAGAAAAAAAAATCAGGAATGGCTCAGTGTCAAAGGTTCACGCGGCGTTCATGTTGTGTCGGAATTACCGTAATTACAAAATGACAACTTTGAGATTCTACTCCTGTTCACAGACACAAGAATTAATTGTTTCTATGGCAACACTCGTAATGCCAAAATGGATCCAAGTGCGGCTTTATTGGTAATGACCGAAAAATGCTACCTTAATTCACTTCTTGCAAAATAGACTGGCTATATTAAAATGCCATTTCAAACAGCGGTTGCCAAAAAAGTAGCTTTAGCTGCTGCCATCTTGGTTGTTTTTACATTATGCCGCAACAGTTTAGTGGGAGAACTCAAAAAACATGAGCCATTTTACATGCCAAAAACTCATAATTATGGTCATTTTGACATGATGCAGAACTAAAACTGACTTTTGCTATTAGCATTTGCTTCCAATTTTGCTGCTCGTATAGGATCCATATGTCATAAATGAGCTGAGGTTTAAAATTAGCCTTCGTCTCTCGCTGTAGACGCTAGTCTGTATGACAACATGTTTTCAGAACTCTCAACATCTCTCTAAATCTGAATCATCCTTCCAAGAGGGGGTCATGAAGTTCTGTGCACTTTCGTGAGAGGCTGGCGTTGCATGCTAATTGATGCTAATTACAGATGGTATGATTTATAATATATCACATTCTGAAGGATTTTTGGGTTGCATCTCCAACTCTACAGAATATGACAGCTGCAAGGCTGCATTCACAGTCCCTTATGGTGGGTGAATGTGAAGAATCTAATGAACGTCTTTATTTTATTTTTACCGTTCTTCTGCTAAGCACCATTAGTATAAATGCTTGTTTGGGTAGTTAAAGTCACACAGGTGTCCCAGTACATGCCACAGATGGGATACATGGGTAAGTTATAATATGCTGGAGCAAGTAATGATCTGGAGACAGATCACTTTTAGAAACATTAATGCGGTTTGAAGGCAATGTCAAATCTTTTAATATGGGTAGTGAACAGTGTTACTTTATATTTAATTTCAGTTCTGTATTTCAAGAATATTAAGAATAGATCTAGAGTATTCATGTAAATCTACACTGTAAAAAAAGTTACAAATATATTTTACAAAAACATAGTATTTCAATTTTCTACTTTCAAATTTCATGTTTAATTCAATGTGTTACTTATGAAAGATTGTCTCAACCATTAGATAAAAATAAAAAGGTAATTGTGCTTTTTATCTCACAATTCAGTTTTTTTTTTCAATTTTGAGTTTATATCTAAATTAATTGCAAGATGTAAATTCAGAATCACAAGACATAACCTCAGATTTGTGAAATATAAACTTGCAATTGTGAGGAAAAATCCAAAATTGTGAGATAAAAAGTCACAATTACCTATTTCTTTTTTTTTTCTGTGGCGAAAAAAACCAAAACAGAATTGCTAAATATAAACTCAGAATTCTGTGAATTATTGCGAAATGTAAACTTTTTCCTCAGAATTTTGATTTTATATTTTGCAATTCTTTAATTATATCTGGCAATTCTGATTTTTTTTCCTAAGAATTACAAGTTTATATCTTTCAGTTATTACTTTTTTTCATAACTGTGTAATTAATTGTGAAATTGACTAATAATTTCTGAGCATAAATTGTTTATGCACCAGTTCTTTTTCAGTGTAATAACTTACCCTTTGTGTTTTGCTTTATGCAATTAATTTTTGTTAGATCCCATGTATTTTGGTGTATGTTTTGGTATGGCTACTTCTTTATTTTGTTTATGACATGAACTTGAAGTTAATGAGAATTACCAAGATGGCCGTTTAATGAACCCTTACTTTAAAGGGACTTTGGTTATTTTTGGCTGAGCTACTCTGAAACTGTCGGGGGTTATGGGTCAGTCATGGTTTAAATGCTTCACCAGACTGAAAGGGCAGTTTGGGATAATAAACCAAGCCAGTCCTTAATTAACAGCACTAGCTTGGACAGGCTTGTTGTTATTTTTCAGCTCTGTCTTTGCCGTTCCACCCCTAATCCAGTGAACATATTAGCAGCTACAGAAAGTGACAGTGCACTTCAAATCTAATCTTATTATAGTGACCATATGAGAATTTTCCTCAAGGCGATGAATGACTTCCGTTTGTCTCTTTGTTTCTTCTTATCAGGCTCTGATGAAGCCTGTCACTTATCCAGCCATTGGACGTTCTCAACAACATGTTTTTCATTAGTTTTCCAGGAATATGATCATGAAACACATATACAATAAATTCTGAAGCTCTGCGTGTTGGTTTCACATGCCTGGAATAAGATTAGAATATGATAAACAACATTCCCAACTTAAAATTTTGCAGAAAGGCGTTATATAAAATAAACGTATTATTATTATTATTAATTATTATTATTATTAAAAGAAAGTGTCTTATTGCATGACAATTAGGTTTTGCAGCATGTGAGCAACATATTTGCATTTTTAATTTCTGTAAACATTTTAACAGGTTGCAATGTTGCAATATCTATGAATAAAGACGTTACGTTATGACATCAAAGCACATTTGCCAAAGTAATTTGTAAACTAATTTCATGTATGCATCACATAACCATCTCCAGGTGTACGGCTTTTCTGATGTAAACTTGCTCTGTAGCTCACCTGGTAAAACGTTGCACTTTTGTACGAGTGAACCACAGTAAAAGAGCTCAAAGAGATAAAATGGCATGGTTGCTTCAGCAAAAGTGTTTTTATCTCATGTTTGCTTTTGTTAACACTATTGTGTTGCTTTAATGTAGGTGCTGTGTCATTTTCAAAAGTGACAGAGCATTAATCGTTTTGCACTACTGTAACAGGGCGACTGAGACGAGAGACGTGCGGATCCATCTGCAAAGCTTTATTCTTAAACATATTCAAAACAGGCAAGGGTCGGACAATGGCAAACAGGTATTTAGAAGGCAAGACAGAAGAGTGATCCAATAAACAGGCGTAGGTCGATCAACGGCGAACATAATCCAGAGGATGAGGCAGGCGAGTAATCCACAGACAGATATTAATCCAGGCGAGCAGAATCCAGAATCCAAACAACAAGACGAGAGAGAAATCCAAGACAGGCAGGTTATCAGGAACAGGCAATTACAAATTACAAAGATGTTACGAAACAGGACTAGAAATAGGAACTAGACTAAACTCAGACAGGATACTGGCTCCGTAAAGTGCTACCTCTAAGAGAGTGATAAACGCAGACAATACTCGGCAGTTAGAGAAGGATTTGAGTGGTTGTTATATAGTGTGTGTGTGATTGGCTGCAGGTGAGTCCAATCAGTGCAATGGAGCATGGGAAATGTAGTCCAGGGTGACGTGCAACAGTTTGTGTGGTGTGAGAGTCAATGTAATCAGAAGGCGACCTCTGGTGGCGAGCAGACGGAAGACCACGGACTGGATTCGTGACAACTACTCACCAAACATTTAAATTCCAAACTGCTGCAATATGTAAAACAACCAACTTAACAAAATGTTGCCAGATTGATGTAGATCTGTTTTAGTTAAAAATGAGCACGCTTTTATCGCCACACATTGGGCATTTCACTTTGAAAGTGGTGAGAAATGTGCCGGAATCACAATAGTATCATTTTGCAGAAATGTCACCGCTGGCACGTTTTTTTCCCCCCCAGTGAGTTTGGGCCGGAAATAATCATTGTGCAGTAGAAGTAGTAGCATTGTAAGTGAGTAGAGCTGGAGTTGCACACTGAACCAAAGTCCTTTTACCTCAAGTCTGGTTCACCCACCTGATACCCATCTTGGTAACTTACCCAGGCAGGTATTTTTTAGGTACATAATCCCCAAAAAACTCTCTCTATTTGAATGGGGAATGACAAAAATCTCCAAAAAAAAAATTTTTTTTGTATAAATATTACGTCTTTGCTAAACTCACACTAAAATTAATGGTCTGGATGAACTTACCAGAAAATGCCATCTTTTTTTTTTTTATATCGTTTGCATATAGGCTTTATACAAGTAACGTCAAAAAATTGCTAGAAAAAAGCACTAAAAATAGTATTTGGATGCAAATATGCTGCCCCTTAAATTTCATGACTTTTTATAATTTATGGTGGTAATTAAAGGAAGTCACCCAGTTATCACTTCATTTTTCTGTATAGACCTCCAGTTCTGATATACAGCAGAAATGATGTCTCAACTTGTGCCTGCGGTTGCAGTTACACTCCTACAGACACGATATGTGTGAGACAGGCACAATGCTATCTGTAGCACATTTCCGTGAGTGATGTAGCATGTTTGGATTTGCACAGTCAGTCTTCTTATTGTGCTAGTTGCTTTTTGTTTGCAGGTGCCGATCTGCACTGAGCAAGTTTGTATAGGCTCTGTTATGGTGCCAAACCAGCACAGTCGCAAACCAGATGAAGTCCGAAGAAAAGAGGAACTGCTACCACTTGCAACAGATTTTATTGACCAGTACTACACATCAATCAAAAGGCAGGAGAACAATTTAAATCTAATGCACACTGTATCATATGTAAACATCCTTCATCGCTGCAAAAACAAAACAAAACAAATAAATAAACTAAATTTTATATATGGTTTTATTTTTTGCACTAAAGAATGGTTATATATTTTATATTTATTTTTTTGTTTTTATATAAAAAAATAATATAAAATAATTTATTTGACAAACAAAACTATGTAAGAAAGATGAATTTAAGATTTCAAATGACTTTTTTACACTTTATCATAAAATTCTTTTTTTTTAAGAGAATATATTATGAATTAATTTTATCGTTCTTACTCCATTGCCATTTTTCTTAAAGCTCACAAAATTTTGTTAGATGTTTGCTTTAAAACTGGGCATTCTAAGTAAAAGAATACACTTAATTCAAGATGCGGTATATATTCTCCAAAAACAAATATCTCAAATGAATTTATGCATTTATTTTTTCAAGACAAAATTATTTATTTATTTATTCAGTCGATGAATTGCAGTTTAAGTCGCTTACATGTTGGTTTCAAGAGAGAGACGAGAATGTTGCGGCTTGGTTAAAAATTATAATGCAGCTTTTTTTCCATAACTAATTAATTACATTAACACGTTAAATTGACACCCCTAATTTTAATGTATTTATATTAGTGCTGGGCAACGATTAATTGCGATTAATCGCATCCAAAATAAAAGTTTTTATTTATATAATATATGTGTGTGTACTGTGTACATTTATTATGTATACATGTGTGTGTATTTATATATACATAATAAATATACACAGTACACTACACACATATATATTATGTACACAAAAACTTTTATTTTGGATGCGATTAATCGCGATTAATCGTTGCCCAGCACTAATTTATTTACTTTGCAGTACATAACTAGCTAATTGTAATATTTTTTTTCTAAATGTGCTTTTATACGTTTGACTTCTGTCTGAACAGATGCGGCTCAAAGGCCCATGTTGACCGGCAAGAAGAGGTTAAAAAAGAGATAGAAACTTCTGGAATGTATCAATTGAAAGACAGAGAGCTGATCTATGGGGCCAAACATGCATGGAGAAATGCAGCTCGCTGTGTGGGACGGATCCAGTGGTCCAAACTACAGGTATTGTGTTTTGTTTTGTTTTTTTATTTGTGTTTTTTTTTTTTTTTTTTGTATTACATAATTTTTCTTCCAAAAAGCCATCCTTCATTAAACAATTCCCTTCATCTTTTCAAGCGCTACAACAGTGTGATGTCTATTGAAATGCAGTGATAATGAAAAAAATTGTCCTAATAAGGAATTTCTCCCCTTTGAGGTGTTCGATGCTCGAGACTGCACAACCGCTCATGGAATGTTTAATTACATCTGCAACCACATCAAATACGCCACCAACAAAGGAAACCTCAGGTTAGTGTGGCCATTTTTCATTAGCTCCTTTCTCTTCCTGTCTTTTTCTGTCATCTCCTTTTCTCTGCGACTTGCCTTCTTCCCTGTCAAAGTGTGTGTTCCCTTTCTCTCTTTGTCACCTTGCTCCACAGCCATCAGTACAGCACCTGCCAAAGCATTGCCGAGCGCTGGCACTGCTGCCACGTTACAAAGCTAATCATACACGACACTTACTCTCTGTTCTGTTTAATTAGCGTCAGTCTAACAGAATGATTTGAGCCTGAGAGAGTGAGAGAGGGGTGGGGAAAGGGAAAATTAAAACAAGAAGAGAGGAAACGCTCTAATACAGTCAAAAGCCCCCACGCTTGCTTCTTACATCATCAGGACCTGCCAGAATAAACGTCAGAGGTCTCCTACACACTTTTTCCGCACATAAACAAATCAAGGCAACAAGAAAAGCTCCTCGGCACTTTTTCAAACAGGCTGGTGACCCAAATTTCATCCAGAGTTGTATTTCGAGAGTGACGGGACTTGTTATTTCGATTGGTTGGACTGACACTTTATGCTCTTAGCATATTGTTGAACGTCAGTGTGATGTATTTTCAGCAATGAAGCACGATTATGTTTGCTTATGGAACAGACGGGGTTGTTTCAAAAGCACCTAAAATACTGCATACATAGTAGAGTAACCTCTAATAAAAGCAATATATACTATAAAGCAAATTCTCAACTTCTTGATTGGTTTATATTAGGGATGTCCCGATCAGGGTTTTTGTGGCCCCGATCCGATCCAGGTCATTGAATATTGAGTATCTGCCGATACCAAGCCCCGATCCGATACTTGTGTTTTCCTAGTGCTTGGTGCACATTTCAAGTGCAGTAAAGTTATTAAAATCAATCCAAATTATACAGGGATGTGCAGAGACTTTCTCAGGGGCTCAAATGTCAAAAGGGACATCTATCACTAATATCCAATATAGCAATTACTATATACTATACAGTTGAGGTCAAAAGGTCATATATCTGAATACTTTCCGTACCCACTGTATATATATATAGATATATATATATATCTTCAAATAATAAGATACACACTATCTCTCTGTATATGCACACACTGTATAGAGACATTGGTAGATGTAAACATGTTACAATGACATGGTGAACAGACTGTGAGTCACAATTAATAATATGGGACTACTGATATAAACTTCTTGTATTTTATATGTACAATAAGCAGATTAACTGCAACATAAAGGGAAAAAAAGATGAGATAAGGTTAGAAAGCATGAAGTTCGCGAATGCGAATGCAACCCATAGCAAGACATTATGACAACGACATCTCAGATAGACACCGGCATGACAGCTAAAGAATCACCCGTGGATCGGGCTTAGGAGAGCCAATACCAATCAGTTAAAAAAATGCTTAATCGACCCTATCCCGATCCTTGAGATCGGCTCGGGACATCCCTATTTTATGTTGTTGCAAAATGCAAATTATATTATCGCACAACTCTCTCTCTCTCTCTCTCTCTCTCTCTCTCTCTCTCTCACACACAATATATATATATATATATATATATGAAGACTTCATTTGCAAAAACCGATAACTTTTTTTTTTTTTTTTTCAAAAACCACGTTTTTT